TGCCCCAATTAAAGATGGGGACTGCTTTCAGTGATGGGGTGTCAGGTTTTGTAGGGCCAGGTGGTAGCTTTGAGTGGTTCAGAGATGCAGCTCTGTGGCATGCAGTATTGTGGCTGACAACTGTCACCAGACCCAGTGCAGTGTTCAGTGTTCAGGGCAGGTTACAGTGTGTAGGGGACTGTGGCGGTGGTTGCAGTGCTCCAAGCTGGAAGTGACTGGAGGAGCCCCACAGAAATGGTGGCTGGAGTTCCTGCACACGGACTGAGGCTGGGTGTCTTGTTTGGGAGCAGCAGCTGGGATTCCTTCATAGGTGAGCAGCCAAGGTCCTGTGGAGGAGCTAATGCTTGTGGTCCTAGTAGGATACCTGGAGGACTTGCATGGTCAAGTGGCCTGGATTCCTGTGCTGATACTGAGGCCTGGAGACCTGCACAGTATGGCAGCTGTGATTTCTGTGCAGGATTAGCTGTCCGAGGTCCTCTAATCACTTGCAGAGAAACAGTATCCCATTACTTGCATCCCAGGTCCTGGAGCAACACGGAATGCAGCCTCCCTCCAGCCTGTCATCTTGGATCCCTCCCAAAATTCACATTCTTGAATTACTGAAAACTGAATTTTAGTAACAAAGAAAATGCAATCAAGAATCCATGGTATAAAAACAAGTAGAATAAAAGAAGTAAAAGTAGACAAGAATTGGAAAATGTCATAGAAAATCTAAATAGTAAGCAGTAGAGGGTTTCAAGATGGTGAAATAGAGAAGGTTGCTTTCCTGGCTGATCCACAGCATGAAACCAAGAAAACAGATTAGCAGCTTCTCAGCAAGGTGGATGAAAATAAAAGGGGCAGGGGGAGAGAGGCTTTACAGGATTTAATACTGGACATTCAAAGCAGATTGGGGACATAGGAGGTTGGGTATAATAGAATAGGGAAGAAATCCCCAGCACAACAGTCACTGCCCCAGGCAGAGGCACCAGCCAGAGCAGTCCTTCTAGGAGCAAAGTGAAGGGAAAAGGGATAAAGGAATCTGCACTTTTAAGAGACTTGAGGTATGTCTGGGTACAGAGAGTTTAGAGAACAAAGACACTGCCCAACTAAACTGAAAGGTGTGTTGCACAATATCTTTGTGTGAGAAAGAAGCCCATCTCTCCTGACTGTACACAGAGGTCAGAGGAAGTTACAGATCAATGTCAAGCAATGAAATTGAAGACACCATCAAAAGCCAACCAACATTTATTATTCATGTATATTACATTTTTGTGAATTAGCAGATTTTCACATTTTTAAAGAGAGAGAGAGAGAGAGAGAACATTTTTAATATTTTTTTTATTTTTTTGGTGGACACAACAACTTTATTTTTATGTAGTGCTGAGGATCTAACCCAGCGCCCCGCGCATGCCAGGTAAATGCACTACCATTTGAGCCACATCCCCAGCCCCTTCAAATTTTAGTCTTAGTTTTTAAGTTACATCTTGATTGTAGAAATACTTTATTAAGGACATTGGCTTTCATGTGGCATATAATGCAAACATATTTAACTGATGTTGGTTAAAACTTTAATTTCCTCTTCAGTGATTATCTTATTTTATATAACTGCATTCATCCACATTTTTCTAAAATAATTTCTCTTGTTGGCATTTTTTTCCTATTTTTTATTTTAATTTCTATTTGTATATGACAGTGGAATACATTGTAATTTTTATTACACATATAGAGCACTTTTTTCATATCTCTGGTTGTATATACACAGTATATTCACACAAATTTATGTCTTCATATCTGTAGTTTGGATAATAATGATCATTACATTCCACCATCATTAATAACCCCATGAGTCCTCCCTTCCCCTTTAACCCCTCTGCCCTATCTAGAGTTCGTCTATTCCTTCCATGTTCCTGCTCCCTATCCCTCTATGAATCAGCCTCCTTATTTCAAAGAAAAATATGCTGACTAATAAGAAATGTAAATATCAACAACATTTTAAAATGGAATTTTTTTTCCTGAAATTGTTTGTAATATGGGTAAAACAATTCTCCTTTATGTTGGATCTGTATATTCTGATTTATACTGCTATGTTGCTTAAGTTTTCTGAAGACTGATTTAGAGAATGAAGCAAAAGCCTGAAAATATTTAATGCCCAGAAGAGACAGCTTTTCTTCTAAAAATTTATACTAATAGTTGTATATGTGTACAACATGCATATACAAAACATTGATTACAAATAGCATACTATAGCAAAAACTAGAAACAACTATTGAATCTAAGGATAAGGGACTATTTAAGTTATGATAATTCATAACCATTCAGCATGCTTTTATAGAAGAAAATTTATCAAAGCAATATTTCTTATTATATTATGTTAAAATAAAATTCTATATGCTAAATTTAAAAAAAAATGTCTACCAACAGAGAAAAGCCCAGGACCAGACATATTGTTAGTCAGGTTCTATATCAGACCTTCAAAGAAGAACTATCACCTACCCTCTTCAAATTATTCCATAACATAGAAAAGAAGGAAATCCTTCCAAACTTGTGTGTGATGCTAGTATCACCCTGATACCAAAACCAGACAAAGACACATCAAAGAATGAAAACTTCAGATCAATATCCCTGATGAACATTGATGAAAAAATTTTAATAAGATACTGCCAAATTACATACAAAAACATATTTGAAAGATGGTACACCATGATCAAGTGAGGTTCATCCCAAGGATGCAAGATTGGTTCAATATATGGAAATCAATAAATGTAGTTCATCACATCAATAGATTTAAAGACAAGAATCCCATGATTATCTCAATAGATGTGGAAAAAATAATTTGACAATATACAGCATCAATTTATGTCTAAAACACTAGAAAAACTAGGGATAGTAGGACCATACCTCAACACTATAAAAGCTGCATATGCTAAACCCAAGGCCAATATCATTCTAAATGGAGAAAAATTGAAGGCATTCTCGCTAAATACTGAAACAAGACAAGGATGCCCTCTTTTACCACTTCTATTCAATGTAGTGCTTGAAACTCTAGCCACAGCAGTTAGGCAGAAGAAAAAAATTAAAGGCATATGAATAGAAAAAGAAAGACTCGAACTATCGCTATTTGCCAATGATATAATTCTATATTTATAAGACCAAAAACCTCTACCAGAAAACTTCTAGAACTCATAAATAAATTCAACAAAGTAGCAGGATATTAAATTAACACCCACAAATCAATTGCATTCCTATGTATCAGTGATAAATCAACTGAAAGAGAAATTAGGAAAACTGTCCCATTCATAGTAGCCTCAAAAAATATTTAGGAATCAAATCTAACAAAAGAGGTGAAAAACCTCTATATTGAAAAATACAGAACATTAAAGATAGAAATTAAAGAAGACCTTAGAAGATGGAAAAATCTCCCATGTTCTTTAATAAGCAGAATTAATAGTAAAAATGGCCA